CTGCCCTCCCCGAGCGCCGGCCCTGCGGCCTCGCCGCTGCCCCGGGCCGCCCCGCGACCTTGCGGCGTGAGCGGGACCGCTGGCCTCGCGGGCGGCGCTCCGCGCCAAGTGCTGTGCCGGGAAGGACTCCGAAGGAATTTTCTTGAAGAAAATACTTCTCTTCCCTCCTTTCAGGTCCTGGAGTCCTGACGCGGACTTTGCTCAACTCAGGCGTTCGAGTTGTTGCCCTAGAAAATGACCTGGCTTTTCTTCCAGACTTACAGGTGGATGTTTGACTTCACAGGACATTTCTAAAATCAATCCAGGGGAAAGTGAGAGGCTAATGTACAGTTGTGTTGCTGTTGAACTAAAGCCTTTTTCAGTGATCGTTGCTTCTATCATTTGAAGTAACATTTAAAATTGGTAATGAACGCTTGGTTTAACTTGGTACATGCAGCAACAGTTTTACTACTTTATAATCAATTGATTTGGTCTTCTGTGTGTATTGGAATTTGTAGTCTCCCTTTGAACCAATTAATTTACAAACTTAAAGCTAATTTTCACCAGAATGTTTGTGGCACTGTATATTTAAGCAAAATGTTCGAGTGTAGCCCTCGGAAACCTATAAAAATAGCCTTGATTATTTGGATTATCTCACCATATTATTATAGATAATAATACACAATATATTATAATACAGTATTATAATCTATTCCCCTGCAATTGAGCCAGGATACTAAGATACTTAAAGAACGTTACCCTGTCCTGTTCTTCTTGATGTCCTATGGATCCCAAGGTGGTCATATGTAAAACCTTAGATATTACATCAAAGGGATGTGGTATGGTGGTTTGAAATAGAGCTTTGGGATTGCAGATGCTCATCTGATTTAAAATGTGTATAAGAGAATTCCCTTTGCACATGTGAAGATTTCAGTTATAAATCATTACAAGTGCAGTGCTCAGCTGAATACAGCTTTCAACTGTTTTTTACAAAATGTTCTTGCAGGACATCTTACTGCTTTAAGAATGTTTTAAAGCTGTAGTTCTGTGGCATGAGAATTTCAAAATGCCTTCCTTCATAGAGGAAGCTGCTTGCTGTGGGGACTACGAGAATTGATTCTGAGTTGGCTCTTGTTGACTGGATACTGTATGAACATTTAGTGCGGGAGGAAGGGGTGTTTTTCCAGAGAGCTTACTGTGTCCACCTTTTTTCACTTGAAACTTATTTTCTTTCAGTCCCTAGAGAATAGCTTGGATGGACAATTCAAAGTAATTTATGGTGACTTCTTCAGGCTGGATCCTTTGGTCACTGGACCAGTGAAACCACCTACTGTGTGTTCTGAGAAGCTTTTTGAATCTATGGGGGTAGCAGCAGTTCCTTGGAGAGCAGGTAAATACATACGTGGCCTCACATGTTGCCAGCATGTTTAAAGGCTGCATACACAGTTTGACAAAATCTGGGGGTCTAGCTTGGATATATGCTTTGTTTAATACGTATTCTGTGTTCGTACAGATTATACACCCATTCCTAAATTTCAGTTTCAAGTTCAGGTAACATAATAGCTTAAAAAGCTATTGCCTTTTGGCAATATGAAGTCACAGCTATTTGCATGCCTTTATTAAAGGTTTAGTCTAATGCAAACTGCATTTGGCTTTGAATAAAATTTGAATTTAATTAATTCCCAAATTAAATGACCTCACAGTCCTTTTCAAATTATTTGTAGCTTACACATTTTCATTAGGCTGTTCAGTTAATCCCACAAATATTTTAAAAATGTTTTTACTCACTACTGGAACAGATGTACCGGTGAAAATTTTTGGAATCTTACCACAAAAAAAGGAAAGAAACATGCTGTGGAGGCTGATTTTTGCCGTTTATGAATGCAGTTCCATATACAGATACGGAAGAATCGAACTCAACTTTTTTATAAGTGAAAAGGAATACAAGGTATGTGCAAGAGATTTTTCAGGTAATCAGTAATTGCTTCATAGAACATCAAAAGCAGTTTAATATTTCTGGCAGAAAAAAAGAAAATATTGTCTGTTTTCTTGTTTTATTTTACTTCTTCTTTCAACTGCCAAGAAACATTCTGTTGTCACGTAACCAAAACTCCTTCATATTTGAAGGCTGTCCTTGCGAAGGATAAGCAGCAGCAGTCTGATTGTTTTTCATTCTAGCTTCTGAGGTGCTTAAATTTTGTAAAGTGCTTTTGCAAAAAAAATTGTTTACAAGTTGCAGGTAGTAGTCACTGAAAGAAGGAATTCAAAAGTCCTCGTGAAAAGGATCAGCATTACTAAGTATCATACTCAGTGAGATGCATTTGTTCATTTGAGATGATTTTCTATGTGGTATTTAAAAAATGAGGCAAAATATGAATGAATTAAACCTTTAAGTTCTGTACGCTCAGGTGCAGATTAGCTTTCTGGGTTGCTTGTGACTAATTTATTTTCTATCCTAAGACTTCTAGGACAGAAAGTCACAAAACTTTCTGTCCTAACTAAACTACTGTAACTATAGTTCAGGGATGCCTTTTCTTTTTGTGAAATTGTAAGGTTTTTTCAGAGCCACTAAACCTTGATTACAGAGTTCCACGTGTACCTACACAACCTGCAGTCTGTCCAATACATTGCTTAAAATAAAAAGTAGTGTAGTTTTCTGAAAAATACAGGTGGACATCCAGTTAAGTGGTGGACATGCAGATTTTGAGTAGATGGAAGGCCGTCTGTTCCTTTGAGGGCAGTCTTATGTTTGTGTGTGTAGTTGTTTATTTTATAAATTAAGTTTTCTGTTTTTATTGTGAGTTGTCTAAATATAAGTTGAATGTGCTGGAGTAAACGCAGTTGGAACCTTCTTCTGATGGGTGTTGTCAGTTCCCTTTTATTGGTTGATGGTACAAAATTGCTGTCTATTGTGTGAAATTAGATATTTCTGGTGTGATTTACTTTTCTTTGTCTTGTGTGAAAGCAACCATGAGTTTTTTTTTTTTTTTTTTTTTTTGCCCTCAGTGTTGTCTGATCTGTAATATTGATCAGGATGATGACTGTGCAAGCAGTTTAGTGCTCACGGTACTGAAATGATGCTATTCCAACAGTTTTGGTTTGCTGTGCTTGTATCTTGCTGGGAATATTCCCTGCTAAATGTGGAAGTGCTCAGGAGCTACTGATTCTGCCTGCATTATTCTTATACAAAACACAGTGCCTGTTTCTCTTCTGCTTGAAACTGCTCTACCTTTCAAGGGACCTGAAAGTGTAAGCTGGAAATTCCTGCATGGTTCAATTATTCAAAGAAAGCAGCAAAAAAAGAAGTAGACTGATACAATGTGTTCTGATCTTGTTCCTAGAGATGTACTAAGGCCTAACCTAAGTTTAACTTGGAACTTTTAGACTTTGCTGTGAGTTTTTTACCACTTGTTATATTCATAAGGATTTTGCTTAGATAAAGAGCAATATTGGCGTTTGAGGAGGGAAAAATAATAATAACAAAAAAAAAGTTCTTTGCCCTCTTGTCAGGTATTAACAGCGAAAGCTGGAGAAAAGAGGGTCTACCAAGCGCTTTCTGTGCTCTGGCAAATAGGATGTGAGATTCAGCTTCTGCACATGGTAAGTATTTTGTATCAGCTGCCGTGGTTAATGCTATAAATATGTTTACAGACAGCTGCTTAAACTGTTTGACATTTGGAAACTAATTGGAAGCTAATTGACAGTTAAATTATTAATTACTCTTATTAATATAATTATTAATTATTATTAATTATGATGCTAGTGTTTTCATCACAAGCCACTGTGCTCAAATGGTTTATTCTTAGAAGTTGGTGGATAAGGAAGTGACCTTTGGGCAGCAGACAGGTCTTTTCAGGATATTCTAAAGGGTTACATAGTTGGAGACTAGGAGGATACTTGATAAACCATAGTTCACTAGGCTGGGTTTTATGCTGTTTGCCTGGTGTCTGTTTCAGATGCTGTGGGACTCCAATTAGTGAACTAGGCACTTAGGTGTTTCATCTCAGTTTCCAGCTTTGGGCCAAATCCTGAACTGGAAACCTATAAGTAGCCGTGCTAATTTATTATAATATATGCAACTGATTTGATTATATGTAATTTCAGCAGTGCTACTCGAATACTTTGCGAGGAGTGGGATTAAGTAGCATTTTCAATCTGGGTTTTGTGTGCTTATTACTTGATGTTTTTTCTGCTTTTCCATTAATATATTTAGACCATTTTAAAAGTAAATTTTAGAAAGGGAGTAAGATTCTGATTTAACAAGATTCATAATTAATTTTCATATTTTAGCAAAGCATTTACATTTTATAATTTATTTGCTTCCTCCCATAGGAACCTTGGGCATCATTTTTAACTAATTTGAAGAATGGGGGACTGGCGATACCCAGGAGCACGGTAAGATCATTATGAGGGCTTTCCTCCCTTAAATGTGTAACTAAACCAGTTTTAGTTGAACACAGGTTAAAATAACTTTATAACAGTGTTTACAAGTGTATCTTCTGGCTCTTTCAGTAGTGTGTTTTCTAGTGTAAACAAAACACAAAAGCAGTGTGTAGATGCCTGAGAAGTGGTGTGCAGAATTGTTCTTGAGTAGAAACTGCAATAAATTAGTATCTTTTTTATTGTCTGTGAAGGAAAAAATAACAGTGAATAAGTGAATGTTGAAGAGGTATCTACCTGTTTGAACAGAACAATTAGTAGCACCTGTTTGTGATGAAGTTAGTTGTTCGTATGTCCAGTGCAGATCCCACGTGCTTGTGAAGTGCTGATGAGTGTGGGTCTCAAAGATTAAATCTGAGAAATGGAAAAGAACTCTTTCATCTAAAATTTTTTACTTGTCTCTTTTAGAGAACTACTGATATTGTTTTATATAATAAAGGAATATGTTCATTTAAGTCTAACAATATAAAAGCATGTTTTTCTCTTACCCTCCCTGCAAAGTAATGCTGCAGTAATATATTGAGTGTTGTTTGAAATGCTGTTTTATGATGTAAATGACTTTCAGTGGCTGGGTCTGCCTTACACGCTTAAGTGTGTTGCTGTAATGCCTTGCAGAGAGACTTATAAAATAGAGGGTGCAAGATGTGTTGTCACCCCTTACAACATTAGGAAAAGTAAATATGTGAGATCTGTTGGATGATATATCCACTGCTGCCAAATCACAAGTGTCTTTATGATAAATAAAGACTCTATCCCTTTCGAAATTGATAAAATCCTTGAACTGCAGTACTGTCTTCAAGTGTTGCGCTCCACTATTCTGATTTGTATATTCAAAAGGCAGTACTGTCTACAGAACTGCAGAGGAACTGCACTCCTCTATTCTGATTTGTATATTCAAAAGGCAGGTAATTGAAATTGTTTGACCTGAAATTTTGAATATTACAAGCATAATGTAGGCCATGCAATTTCTTTGAAAATTCATGCATGTTGTCTACTTGAACTAAGTTCTAATCCAAAAAAAAGGTTTTTTTTCCCCTATTTATTTCCTAATTTCTTTCCTGCTTGAAGAAGAAGATAAAACTATCTTATTTTGAGAATGAAATTTTATAGCCTTTGCTTCCAGTGAAAGTATCTTGTTATGACTTCTGTTAACTCTCTTTTAAAATGTTATTTGTGTCACAGATTAAGTGCTTACCTCAAGAAGGGTACTGTCTTAAAAATGACTTACTTGCGATGTTTTTTTTTCTTTCAGGCTCTGCCAAATGACCATTTATGTTTGATACGACTGACTCCCCGAAAAGACCTATTTACAGGAACCATGAAACCCACAAATTCATCAACCTTTGTTTTCATGGTGAAACAGTGTCTTGCTAAACCCAGTTCTAGAATTATTGATAAATTAAAGTAAGGATGTAATGTATTTTGTATACTTTTGCTTCAGATAAATATAAAAGAATACTAAAATATGTTATCAAAACAGTATTTACTTGCAGCGGAAATACAGCTTTAGTTAGAAACATCTACATGTAAAACATAAGTTTTCATTTCTTTTTCCAAATCCAAATTTAATACCTTTGGAAATATTTCTTGACTATATTCAGAAATTTGTCAGGAATGTAGAGAGGTATTTAGAGTATAAACATGCAGTAATTTGCTATATTTCTAATGGAAGTGAGTGCATATATTTGCAAGAAGTTTCTACTCAGCTTTAAGTCATACTAAAAAAATCACCAAGATTTTCTAGGTATAGAAATTAAAAAGCTGGAACAGAGTTTGAGTTTGTAAGAAGCATCAGAGCAAGGCTAGTGAAAATGACTGGAAGTTGTCAAGGGTTGAGTAAGGATGTCTTCAAATGGCTTGCTGCTATCTAATTCAAAAGTTGTACTCTGGACATATTTACAGCTACGCACATGTCTTTAATCGCTCTCTTTGATGCAACATGGGAACTATTCACTTGGTTTATAGGTCACTAGATTTCTGCTCCCATAGACTGGAGCTGTTTGCACTCTGGGAAGCATTGGCTTTAACTTCCCGAGGAAAATAATTAATGTAGATTATTATTTCTCATACATGGGTAGTTGGTGTTTATGGGTGTTAATTTCCCAAATGGAAAAATCCAATATGCTAACAAACTCCTGTAACTCATTTAACAAAGACAAGGGTAAAGAGCCTTAATGGATTTCTTAAAGCTCTGGGGTTCCCTAATCTCTCCTCAATCCTTCAGCCAGGTAGTGGAGCTAACCTTACAGGCTTCTAATTTACATCCTCTGTGGTTAATGTGTATGCACATATATCAGAGGTCTAGTTTTCATTGTAATGACACACATGGCAGACTGGATGAATGTGTTTATAGCCAGAAGAAAATATGGGGGCGGTGTAATTCACACTATCGCGTGTTAGACTGAATCATCTTCTTGAAGATGACCTTGGCTTTCGTTTCCCAGGCATTCAAATAGATCCATTTGTGCTGTAATGCCTCTTACTGACTTACGTGGGGGGAAGAGTCGCCCTGCAAGGAAGTGTGTCATGTGGTTTGGTACTGTTTTTGCTTGGTGAGGGTTTATTTAGTATTTACAAATCTTATTAGCAGGGGTTTCCTCCCATTTGCAGCATGGGTTGAAAGTAACTGCATAGGAAGAAAGTGTATACTTCTAGAAGCTGAGAAAGAATGAAGCGGGCCTTCAGTTACTCTTTCTTGATCTTGATTTCTTTTTTTCACAGAAAGAAATGCTCCATTATGACTCTGTTTATTTTATATTTCAGTTCATGGAGCCTGTCTGATGGCTGCAAGTTACTGAGAGAGCTAGAAATTCCAGAAGATGCGGAAACGGTTAGCTTATACCCGGAAGACTACATGCGTCTCTTCGATGCTTTACAAAACTCTAGTGTGTTCACTGAAAGTTGGTTCCATGATGAAGTCTTGGAAAGTGCAAGAAACATGAACTTCTAAATCTAAAGGTACTGACACTTGGAAGATTTTATTTGCTTCTGGAAGATTACTACGATAAGAAATGACTTAAAAAAAATTGGAGATACCATTAGCTTGATGATTTCTGCCCAAACAGGAAGATAAATGCGTCAAGAAACAAGAGCTCTTCTATGCAGGATGCAACCATGATATTTACCAGCGCTTGACTACAATCCTATCGAGAATGGACAAATTTTGCACCTTCTCCAGGAGCATGTTAGCAAATGGCTGCTTTTGGATATACCACTTGAGTCGGCCTTTTCATTACATTGATGTTGATTTGCATAATTTGGGGGCAGAAAGGGAAAACAAACAAACAAAAAGACCAGACTAAATACAGTGATTTGTGCAGTTTGCATTTTAGCGCTCGGTCACCTGAGTGCTCTTTCACAGATTCCCAAAATACATAGTTCTTTACAAATTAGCCTAATAATAAATCGAGGGAGTGGGTTAGTAGAAGACAAGGTAATGACAACACAGTAAAACATCCATAGAGTTTTGTTTAGCTAGAGATTTTGTTATGTCTCTGGTTGAGAAAAAAAACATAGCTGTTTTTCTTTTGAAAAAATGAAATGAGAAAACTAATTGAACTTGGGCCAGTCTCTTCTAATTTGACCATCTGTGAACACCATTATACACAGAGGCTTTATCTTTTAAGTTTAACAAAGTCAGCACTCAGTGTTATATAAACCGTTAAAAAAAATCTTATTTGCAACATTTGTCAATTCATTGTTCTTTGTGTATTACCTATATATAAAATGCTATTTTAAAACCATATGCTTTTAAAATTCTCTTTTTAGCCATATTCCTCCAGAATGCAACCTGTTCCTACTTGTCTTGCTCTCTTACCACGGAACTTTTCTATTCTTGTCTGCTGGGTGGTGCTGAGGTGCTGACAGGTACTACTGGTTCTGTTTTCTATACTACCTCCTACAGGATGCAGTCTGATCAGAAAGCCTTTTTTTTTTTTTTTTTTTTGGAGGTGGAGGAGGAGAATGTAAGTTAAAAAATGTCTTTTTGGTCAAGGCCTGGCTTTGGAAAATAGTAGTGACCAAAACATTGCAAACAGAGAACTGTATTTCTTAAGCATAATGTGAGGTATTTTTGTGACATGCATTTGTCTCTGTCTTGTTCTTGCTGCAGAAAGAAAATTCACTTGCTGCAGCTTCAGTTCACTGCCCTAGCAGGGCTGCTGGCCATCAGTGCAGGGTTAGAATCCCAGCTCTCTGCTTAAGCTGCTGGTAAGCTTTTGTAATGATAAAACTATTAGAAAGACCGAGGTTTATGTCTCATTATGTCTCAGAATGTTATTTGTGATTTGGTTATTGTGCTTTTGGTGTTGCAGATTTGAGGGGTTTTTTGTGTGTGTGTTCAGAGCTCTCTCTGATTTCGATAAGTTGCCTTATCAAATGACCACAAATGGCAAACTTGCTAATGCAGAAGCAATTCCACTTCTTCCAACTCAATAGATGGTGACTTGTCAAATCTGCCAATCAACAAGAACACAGTATATCCTGGTCTCTGTTTTTTCTTTTTATCTTCTTGAATCATATACCTTAATCTTGTTGCACCAAGATACCATAACTCAGCATATTGGAAGGAAATGAGTACATTTACTGCGAGCCTGAACTCCATCATTAACTCCCTGTTTGAATGTAAGCAGGATGTTTAATCCCTGATCACAAGTGTGGATTGAGAATAATGCCTGCTATTATTAAAGTGGTTTTGGTATTCCAAGAGATGGAAAAAAGTGAAAAATACTGGCCAATGCAAATGAATATGGGGGCATGACACTCAAGTCTGTAGACTTGGTTCGCTGGTACCATGCACTCAGTATTTTGTTGTCACAAGTTTACAACTTTTGTAGGATAATGTTGAACATAAACTTGCACTGAAATTTAAAATTGTATAAAAAGGATTCTCTTGCATTTTTGTTATGATTACAGATAATTCATGCATCTTCACTCTGTACTTCTTTCCCACTGTACTACACTCCTTTCCCAAAGTAATGTATCTTTATATATATATAACAGGGGTTGTTTCGGTGATTTGGTTCCAAGACCAGTTGACTGGCAATTTATAAGTGATATTTTCACTGTAGGCTTTTTGAGGCTTTAGATTGCTCCTGATTTATTTTCTAACACTTCAAACTGCTTTTCAGCACACACAAAGGTCATGGATTTAATGTCTTTCATATTCACTGTGAACGTTTAATTTCTCAGAATTTCTTATGTTCATAAAGCTGCTAAACAGAGTTTCCTCACTTAGCTTATAACACACAAGCAATCTTGAGGAATGAATGGAATAAGGACTGTACACTGCGGTGTTTTTCAGGCAGCACCAAGTGTTGTATTCCTCCTTTGCTTAGTGGGGATTCTGTGGCTTGGGTGCACACTGGTAATTCCTTACAGTGCCACAAGGCAAAAAGCTCAGAAACTGATCAGTGGAAATCACAGACACAGGCAGACAAGGACGAGCTGAACTCCAAACCTCTCATGACCATTGCTTTTGAGATCCTGTAGAGACAAGGTAGTTGTCTATGCCACTTAAAAAGCAGTGAGGTGGGATTAGTACAGTCATTGGTGAGGTGGCTGGTTTGCAGAGAGTGGGAAGACAGTTATGAAAACAAGATTATATTTGGGGTGAATGTTGAATGCTGATCCATTCCCTTAGCTGCATTTTTTTATAAATGTGGGATAAACACAGTTAAATGAGAAGGATGTCAGTAAATGGACTGTATTGTGGAAGCAGCAGACTCAGTAGTTACAAAGAGAGCACCTCAATCTATTTAATGGGGTAACAACAACTAATATCATCGAATCATAGAATCGTTAAGGTTAGAAGGGACCTCTGTAGATGATCTAGTCCACTAATATGGCTGATCTAGGAAGAATTTACTTATTTACCAAGATGGTAGAAGAGAAGGAGTAGGAAGCCCATCTTCCTTTTTGTGAGAAAGGGCAACTGTGAAGGATTGCTTTGTATTTCTGCAGCATTACCTTTTGGCATATGCATCCATAAAACCATTTTCAAAATGGAATTTTATTTAAAAAGCAAAACTAAAACTGCTTTGGCAGAATATTTCAAATAACTCTACCTCTGCTTCCTAGAATTCTTCAGTGTAATTGCAGCTGCAAAGCTTTTGCTCAGAGATGTTTTATTCTTAATGCAAAACGTTTCACACAAAAGCAGATTGTTCTAATGAACATGACAGATGGAAAGGAAGCGAAGGTTGGGTTTTAACGGCATAACTTTCTGATCCTTTTCTCTATAGTGCTGCAGTAACAGTGGAATGAAATAAATGATGGCTTGTAGAGGTCTGTTGAGAAGGACATACAAGCAAGGCTGGCACAGATCTCTGTTTGCAGACAAAGCTTCCTGAAGTGAACTGGCCAAGAGAAGTATGAGCACAATTGGGTGTTGTGTATCTAATTAAAAATGAATACCAGTGGTGAGGGGGTTGGACATTTGTGTTTTATTTTTAAAATATATTTTAATGATGCCTTGGAAAAACACGGCCTCTGTGACACTGATTTACAACTCTGCCTAGGTCTCTGTTGAAAAGACACATAGGTTTAATATCCTTTGTGTAAGAGAGTAGGTAATTGGATAATCCCCGAGGCTTAAGGCATTAAAATGTTTGTTGTCTCTGCAATATGTCACACTGCTCCAGACCTCCAATTTCAGTGCTTGAGAATTACATGTTATCAGGACACAAATCTGTGACTTTATGGAAAGGCAAACTGACAGCTTCACATGTATCACTATTTAAATCACAATGTCGAGAAAATGGTGAATAAAATCTGAAGCATGTAAAATTTCACTCTTAATTACAGATCAGGTTTTGTGCGAACCAACAAAGCAATAATCATCAGTCATTTGTACAGTGCCTTAATCTTTCACTGTGCTTCAGAAATTCTGACCTCCGTTTTTTAAAGAGGATTCCTTGTTTTCAAATGCACATGATCCAGTTGCAAGCTGTGCATTCCTGTAGGTTGCCACTCCAATTCTTTTGTCACTGTTACTCAGTAAAAGTAAGTAAAAGACAAGTAAAAATGAACTTTCTGCACTGAAGAGTGCCTAAAAAGTAGAATGCTTCAGAGCCTGGCTAAAATGCCTGGCTTCCTGCATAGGTTTGAAGAAACAAGCAGGTCACATTCCTTTTCTGCAAGTTCTGTGCTTTGCAAATGGATTGCACAGAAAGCAAGTTCTGGAGATTGTGTGTGTGTGTGTGTGTGTATGTGCATGCGCGTGCACGTGGGGGTAGCTACTGACTCCATTTTAACCCACTGCTGTGTAACACCGCAGGCAGCTTATGGCCAGGTCCAATAGAAATGAAATACAGATGTAAATATATCACATAGAATGGTGCATTTGCCATAATCCTTAGTATGTCGTGGAAAGCAGCCAAACTCACTTCAGTTATTTTGATGATGCTTGTAAACACCAAGAAAGAACTTGCAACCAGGAAAACAGTATTTAATATTCACATTTTAATAATCCACCAAAATGCTACACAAAGAAAACAAAAGGGCAGGAGGGACTTCACTCAAAACTGCATGTTAGACAGACTTTGAAGAGAAGATTTTACTGCTAATTTTGAGACCAAAAGGCTTACAGGGAGGCTGCCTCTATCAGGGTGATATTGTGAGGTTTCTTATTTCTGAAAGGCCATTACTTCATGTATCTTTCTTGTGTAAAAATGGAGAGAATAAGGAGTAACTTTCTGACCCCTGACAAGAAGTCAGCATGAGGTGTTTATTCACGCTGTATCCTTGTTCAGTAGCTATTACGTTTTTGTCCTTGTGTGTGGTGTGTTTTACCTGTCACTGCTAAAAATAGATGCTTGCTGTCCCCAGTTGATAGAACACAAGGAACAGCAAACATAGGAAATCCAAGTGAAATTAGGGTAGCTGAGATGCAGCAAACGTCTTAGCAGAGCCAGCAGTCGGTTCCTCACAATGTTAAGTGAGACTTTTAACACTTGATGTAGTTTTATAGATATACCATTGATACGACTCCAAATAGCACTACTTATTTACATACAACTTTACACGTGCACAGTGTTTTGGTATGATTCATACATTTGTATGAGTCAAAGGTTTTCTTTGCAGGATAGCTGCTCTTAAGGTTTTTCTACAAAATTGTTTTTGTCCTGATCTCTTTGCTGATGGGATGTTATTTTTATAGTGACTGCAGAGAAGTGTGATGTTGTCATTACCCTTTGCTGCTCCCATGTTTTAATCAGCACATGGTAGTGACCTTATACAAAGACTTTTATTTCTCTGTCACAGAATCACACTTGAATGTAAGATAAGCCTTGATTTTAATACAAGTGTCTCAAACATGCAGCCTACAGATTGACTCAGGAATATTTACCTAGGTGAAACACTGCTGCTTAAACTGACGACTCAGATTTTAAAGAAAAGCAAGAAATAAATGTACACTGCACTATTGGTATAAGATTTTTGGAAGTCTTCGCTAATAACTTTTAATGCTTCCTGTGAGAAATTGTGGGGAGGGAGGGAAATAGCTTTGATTCATGCTTCCCTGTAAAGATGTTAAGATTGTAATTTTTTATGTCTTTATGCCTCCGGAATTACTTTCATATAAAGTACACTTATAATTCTTATCTTTCAGCTAGGAAATTATGCTGGGAAAATTAAGGAAATCAAGTTTGTGCTTAAAATGATTTTTTTTAAAAGGTTTACATCTAGGAATAAATTTTTAATTAGCTTACCAACACTAATGTTGAAGAGATTGTATATAAAATACCCATCTGTCCCTATAAGCTTTCAGCTAAGTTATTTGATACTTACCCTACATCTTCAGTGATACAGATGATTAATTCAAAATTTAAATTTTATATTTAGATTTATATTTCATCTCAAGGAAAAAAAAAACAATTGTGTCCCCTGCTGGCTGGAATGGGTATTGGACATTTATGGCTAAAGAGCAGAATCCATATAGCTGTGGGGGTTTCATTACTGCAATACTTTTTATATACATGCATATATATTCACGTGGAGCACACTGTCAAGAAATAGAAGGGCTAAGCTTTAACTACAGTGTCTCATCTACAGACAACAAGGAAGTATGACTAAGTCAGCAGCAGCTGCTGCAGTTAAGTGGTATTTCCCACAGAAATGCCTCCATTCCATGCCTTGACGGCTCTCTGGGTGAAATGTCATGCATGCTCAAGTCAGTATCAGGAAGTGTGACACCTGCTTCAGTTGGAGGATGACTGGATCAGTAAAATCCCATAATAATAATGGAGACTAATTAAACTAAATATGCTCAGTTGTCACCGGAACACTTATTGGGCCCTATTAATGAGCATTTATAGACATCATGTAATTATGACTGGCTGCTTTTGAGAAAATTTAGACTGATGTTTCAGTCTGGGCCTGGCATTCTGTTGTTCTCCATTGCTCAGAAAGGGTGTTGAACTCCTTGACCTGGAGAGACCCATTTATAAACTGTAGACGTAGATATTCAGACAGCTGCCAAACCTCCTCCTATAGATGCTGAAATATGCAAAACTGCACCAGTGAAAATATTGTGCTCTACCTCAGAACTTTGCTAAACTACAACACTCTTTATTACTACAATTACACTGTCACAACAATTAAAACCTATCAGCCAAAGGTTGCCTGCTGTATTTATACTGCTCTGCAGCTTAGGCAAGCTGAGGAGAACACCTTTCTTTAGGTGTAGCTGCATTTACACTTGGATTTGGAGAAGAATACCTGTCCTGGCCAAGGCTGTGTGGGTGTGGATTTTTTTTTGGGGGGGGGGGGGGAGTGGGGGTGTGTGAAAGGATATACTATTTCAGACTCATTTTTGTAATTTGTGAGATTAACATACGGGGGATAGAACATGAGGAAACCTGAATCTTCTTAGAAAATTGTGAAAAGAGAGACCTGCATCTTGTGTAGTACGTTTTGGATTGGCCCATTACTGAGCGTGCTTCATTTGTTTTTTAAGTAGGAATTTTTTTTTCTTGAGTATGTATTTGTTTCTACTAAAGTTTGCTGCATATATTGACCATTCATCTGTTTATCCACCTGAAAGGTGGATACTAAGTTTTGTTATTGCTGTTGTTGTTATGGGTTGGGCAATGTCTCAACGACCACAAAGCGCCCTACCCTGTGAGACAGGAGGAAACTGCAGAGGACTATAGCAGATAAGCCGAGTACAGAAATGCTGGTTTAATATTTTAGTGACTATTATGGATAAATCTTGAGTGTCTCACAGTATCACTGTAGTCAAAACGTGCTTTTCACTACTTTGCTTCTTACCTGGGTGCACTTTGTGACGCTCCCGAACAATTGCAGTAGATCAAAGATCAGGGAGCGCCATTATGCATTAATGAAAAAGTTTGAAATTCCGAAGTGTGAAAAAAAGGACACGAAGCGAGCACAGGCTGTTGGCACAGGGGGGAAGAAAAAAAGTAACCTACATCCTTGCTCGACACAGGGCGGCCAAAATCCTTCCATTTATGTGTACGTATATCTATATATAAAGGCATTATCGACGGAGCGCAGTATAAACGAGGTGCCCTGTCCCCTGCCAGCAGCTGCGGCCCTGCGCTAAGATGGCGGCAGCGCGTCACGTGGCGGCGGGCGGGAAGCGGCGGCGCGGAGCGCAGGAGGGAGCAGCCATGGAGCCGGCGGCGCTGCAGAAGTTCCCGAGCCCGGGCAAGGGCAGCGGCCTCCGCTGACTCCGGCGCGCGCCGGCCGGGCAGATGCGCT